AGCACCGCGCCCCCCCTGCTGCCCCCGTCTTCCCCCCGGCACATTCCCAGGGCCAGCCAGGGTTTATTCTTCCCAGGAAGAGAAGGAAGGGAGGAGCAGTGGCAGGGACACGGCTGTCCCCTGCATCCCCCCTGGTAGCAGACTGATTAAAACCCTCTGAGAGACCCAGGGGTGCAGGGGACCCTCAAGGGCATTGCTGGGGCTGCAGCTCCTCTCGGGCTGCGCCGTCCTGGGGTTACAGGGGCTGTGCCTTGCCACAGCCAGGCACCGGCTCCCACCAGGAGCAGGGGATGACGGGTCCCTGCAGCCCACTGTCCTCTGGGAGCCCCCTCGCGACGCCCGGGGGCTGGATTTGGCCCTGCTTTGCACGCACCACCCTGCCCAGGCTCCTGGTCCCAAACAGGTGCCAGGCGAAGCAGTGTAAAGCATCGCTCTGCACACCAAAGAGCCGAAGACAGAGGCTCTGCTGCTCAGTGCTGGGGGGACAGGAGAAGGAATGAGAGGGTCTTTGCCCACCGTGACACGTGCTGAGGCCAGCACTGGGACAGCCATGGGGGTCGGACAGGGTCTGTACCACCAGCAGCGTTGGGCTGAGCAACCTGCCATGCCCTGGGTGTACAGCAGTCAGGCCCTGTCTGCGCAACAGGGTCTGATGGGGATTTATTTGGGGAGGGGAAAATTAATCCCACCGTGAGTGCAGGGCCCCTCAGGCTTTTTGCAGCTGATCATTTCTGCAGGCTGGGTGCTCATTTCCACAATGACTTTCCTTTTGCAACAGCGATCAGGAAAAAAGGCGGGGAGGGGGGAACACAGGCACAGGGATGTGATTATTTCTTTAGCAGCAATCCAAGCGGCTGGAGAGGAAGCTTCATCTTTCCTGGGCCATTTACCTTCAGCGCCCGAGCGCAAAGGCTGAGCCAGGCAGCTCTTCAGAGATGCTGGAGCTTGGCCAGGGCAGGCAGGGGGGCTGGGAGGCTTTGGCTGCCGGGGTCTCAGCGCAGCATCGCCCCACTGTTGGGCCACCAGCTGCCGGGACTTTGGCTCCCCGGGAGGAGGAGCTGTGGATGCAGGGAGGGGGGCAAAAGTCATTAAACTAGGAGTGTTAATTGGCATGGCTGTGATTAGCAGTGGGACTGATGGGGTGCTCAGCTTAGTGCTGCTGTCGCAGAGGGAAGCGCCCGCTTTGCTGGTTGCCTTGCTGTCCCAGCTCAGACCACCCCCTCCCAGCCCCCCCGCCAGCGCCCGGCAGAAAACTGGCAATTAAAAACAAGAGGGGGGAAAAAGCAATAAAGCAGGCCCCAGATTTCAGCCAGAACAACACAGTGGAAAAGCAGGAGTGGGGCTGGCCAGGGGGCACCCCTGGGTGCCCCCCCCTTCCCAGCCGTTGCTCCCCCCCCCTCGGCAGGAGGCTGAGCTGCGCCACGCTCCAGGCTCCAGCCTTATTGAATCTCCCAGCTCAGGGTGCAAAGGGCACCACAGGGAAGAGTTATTAAAAAAAGGGAAATGAGTCGCTTGGAAACCTTCTTTCGGAATAACAGTGTGTGTTTGTTTGGTGATAGATTAGCTCAGCCATGCTGAGCACACAGCACCTGCCGCAACGACGGTCAGCTCAGGAGATCCACAGGAACCGGGAGAGGGGCGACACATGCAGCCACTCCCCCGGCCCTGGCAGGCACCATCTGGGCACCATCCTGCTGGGGCTGGTCCCTGCAGCTCTGCACCCAGAGGGACCCCTGGCCAGACAGGGGCTTGCAGGGCTGAGCCACCACCCAAACCCCATTTCCCTTCCCCTGGCCCCAAAGGAGGTATACATCTCTGAGACACAAAAGGTTAAATTCTCCCCTTTAATGGGAGCTGGGGGGGGGGGTGTGTGTGAACAGGGGTGTCCTTGCACCAAAAGGGCTGGCAGCATCTGCTTAAGAGCAAAGCCATCTGTCAGCCAACAACCCCAGTAGACGTGTGACATCTCTTGGGTGACAGCAAAGGAAAGGGAATGAAGCGGGGTGAGTTTCCTGGAGGCTGGTGTCCCATGCCACCAGCCTCCTGCTGGCTTGGCCACCAGCACTGCAAGGCAGGATTTTCCTGGGAAGGGTTAATCCAGGAAGGAAAACCTGCCAGCAACACTCCAGGTGCTTCACAGACACCTGCTATCTCACCTCCCCGCCTGCCTGGAAGGAGGGAAACCGAGGCACGGTGCTGGGAAGGCACGTTCCTGCAAAGGCACAGGCAGGCAGCGGGGCCAGAGCAGGGGTAAGGAAAGACACCCAGTGTCCTGGCTCCAGCCCTGCTGCTGCACCGAGCCACCACACCCCACTTTCCTCCCAGGCAGCCCAGCTGCACCCTGATCACACCTGCCTGCTCCTGCCTGCTCCGAGGCCAGTGGCACGCCACCCTCCTCCACTGCTGGCTCTTGTTCAGCACCTGGTGTGGATCACACCATGACCTGGGCATCAGGGACCACAAGGCTAAGGCTGGCATCCGCCTCCCAGGAAGGCCAGGAGGTTGCCGGCCAGGAATTGCCCTTCCTCTCTTCAAAATTACAGCCGCCTCTTTGAGCCCCAGGATGGCTGTAGGAAGCACCCAGGAGCTACACCCAGCCTGCCCCAGCCATGGGTCTCTCCCGTTGCTCCCGGGTGCACCTGGGGGGGCTGGATGGGACCCAAACTAGCAGGAAGCCAGACCAGCCCTACTCTGAGGGACCCCCAAGATTTAATGCTCAATGCACAGAAAAAATCTAATGCATAAACATACACCAGCAGCCTGAGGAAGGCTGAGGTAGGGAGATCACCCTCGGGGAGCACTGGGCAGCATCTCTCCTGCCTGCCCAAGCGCTGCCATCCCAAGCCCAGGCTCAGGGAAGGAGAAGGCAAATCCTAGGCAGCAGCAGCCATGAAGGGTGGGGGGGCCAGGGGAGGTGATCTGCACACAAGCAGCAGAGACGGGCACCCGCTGGGCTGGGAGACCTTGTCCCAGCAGGGAGACGCACACCCGCATGCACACAAACACACCCAGCAGGGACAATCAGCAAACACACCGTGTGGCGTGGTGGGGAGACACCCTGGGGGTTCTGTCCCTCCTGCAGCAGGAACACTCTCACAAACACACACCCCAGGGGCGAACGCACCCAGTGCACTCCAGGTGCTTGCCCGGGGGAGGCAGACACATCTGCCTCTTCGCCCATCGCTCCCACCACAACCCCGGCCCTGGTGGGACGCGGCACTGAGGAGCTCAGGTCCAGTGCAGCAACTGGGGCCAGGGGGGAGCTGGCAGGGCCCCTCGCCCGTCAGGCTGCCTCCTGTCCCCTGAGAGGGGCCGGGAAAGTTTCTCCCCAACAGGCCCAGAGGACTGAGGGGGCAGGAACAGCTCCATCTCCCTTCCCCTGCAACCCGGCTTGGCGCAGGCTGCGCAGAGCCCGGCCCCTCCTGCAACCTGTCCCCATGCCAGGAAGCCCACAGACCACTCCATGGTCCTGGCCCCACACCACAGAGGGGTTGGGGCTCACTGCCCCCGCCAGCATCTCCCGGGGTTATCCCACGCATGCAGCAGGAGGCTCCTGCACCCACGTGCCCACCCTGTGCCCTGGGACGGGCCCGCTCCCGCCAGCCACGAGCCCCCACCTCACCCCCCACTGCTGCTGCCTGTGCAGGCAGGGAGGGGGACAGGGGCAGCGCCCTGCTCCTGATTTCATCAAAACAAAACCATTTGTCTTGAAGCAGCTCCAGCACCGACAGATGCTCTGCGTTAGATGGACATGGGGAGGGGGGGGTCACGCAGAGCCACCCCCACACACAGACACACACGCGCACACACACACATCTATCCATCTATATATGTACAGAGAGGAGCGTGCCAGAGAGAGACAAGTTGCAAGAGCCTTTGCCTGGGGGGTAGGGTTGTGCGGGGGGGGTCCCTGATGTGCATCCAATTCCCGAGAGGGAATTGACTCGTTTGATTTTATTCATGAAACACAGAAAGTAAAAATGGAGTGTCAGGAAATCAGATCTGCTGGGTGATGAGCCTGGCCCCCCCGGCAGGCCTGGGGGGGGCACAAATCCCCCCATTCATGACCACCACAGACGCTTGTGCCAGATGCAGCTGTAGCCCCCCAAACCTGGCAGCTCCCGCTGTGGGGAAAAGCCTTGCTGGGCCCCAAGAGGAGGTGGCAGAGGGGGGACACACAGGGGTGAGCGGCCTTGGGAAGCATTTAGTATCTGGGACCGGGGGACATCACGGGGAGGGCTCTGCGGGCAGGGAGGATGTCTCTGCAGCTGCAGCCTTTCCTCAATCTCCACAGACAGGCAAAGGGGTAGGAACAGGCAAAGCCCCCACCCAGCTCAGCAAGGCCAAGCCTGTCCCTGGGGTAAATGCACTTGGCTGAGGGGGCACCCCGGCGAGACAGGGAGATGGAGCTGGCGGGGGATGCCCCCCTCGACAGAGGTGAAGGCCACGCTCGTGCTGGAGCTGAGCCCGCACCAAGTCAGGACAGAAATGAGGCATCACCTCTGCAGGTGGTTTCAGTGCTCACACCCTTGGCGGAGGCGCAGCCGGCCGATGGGGGGACTCACGCTGCCTCCCCCCGCTGCAGGCCGTGTCTGCTTCTCCCACCCGCAGGTGCGATGCTGGTGCAGGGTGCGGGACAAGTGCACCCCACGGCGCGCAGGGGCCCCGGCCCCCCCCCGGCAGAGGGCCCTACCCGCCCACGCGCGGCCGCCCCCATGCTCACGCGCGGCTCCGTCTCGCGCATCTCGCTGCCCCCCCCCCCCCCCCCCCCCCCCAACGGCGCCTTCAGCCCCCCGCCCCGGGGGGGGCGGCCCCGACCCGG